ACACACACAGACAACCCCATGACAATATGCGTTTTGTACTGCTGTTACACAGCACAAAACGCATAAGAAAAACCAAAGAAACCATGTTGGATAAAACCATGCACAGGGTCAAATATAATTGGCTAAGCAAAAGCAGCGTAAGCAGAGAATTCATCTGTGCATCACTAGCTTGTATCAAGTCATTAAACTGGAACTGACCTGGTGGCCCTTGTAGTCCAGATTCACCAGGTGGTCCCGGTTGTCCATTCTTGCCGGGAACTCCATTTCGGCCCCTTGGCCCTGTAATGCCTCTTAATCCTGGTTTTCCGACAGCACCCGGAGTTCCAGGTGGTCCACGCGGACACTGATAACAAAACGAATCTCTACGTATCGGTAGTAGATCCTCGGCATTCTTCCCAGCTTGTCCGTTTAATCCCGGTGCGCCATTTAATCCGACATGACCGGGTAAGCCTTTTGGCCCTGGCGGTCCGGCTGGACATGCATTTTCCCTAACACATTCTGAAAAACAGAGCTGCCAATTAAGTCAATTGGCCATACAGAATGTGCTAAATGAGGGAATTAGGAAGGTACTGACTGGACTGGCTTGCGGTTGTGGCCTAACATTCCAATAAATTCACAATTAAAATTCCGACTCCTTTTTGCTGCCCATTCCAGAAACTGTGAAAAACCAAAATTACAACAGCAAATGGATTGTTCTGATTTTTCAATGTGAATCAGTAATTTACTGCAGACGTCGGCGAGCTTTGGACCGTTTGCTCGAAAGGCCTCTTCCGTAGCAGTTGCCGCATTCGCAACAAATGGGGAAGTAACCGGCTTGAAAAACTGATCCGACAGCACACTTGACGCGAAGTTCTTTTGATCCGATGATTCCTTCGAATATTTACGTGCAGTTGTTTCAGTGCTTGGCGCGAGCGATGTTCTCTGGCTGGTGTTGCTCCCATTGCTACTGTCTGATGATACTGCAGTTTCTACAAAGAAAAGTTTCGGCTAAATACCTAGAAATGCCTGGAAGCGGAAAAATCAAAATATTTGAAACGAAAAGTTTCGACTCCAAGTTTTTTTCAGAAAAGAGTTTTTCTATATTTCGAGCAAAATTTGCTCAAGAAGGCAGTCAGTTTCTCTTATGCAGTTAAGAAAATTGTAAAATTTAGCCAACAGAATAAGAAATTCAATTTAAGAAACTCATTAGAGGCGAAAATCACTCTTTTGTTCAGCTGCTTTTGTTCAGCTGTGAATGAGTGGAACTGGCTGCCTGTTAGCGCTGACGTGATCTACTTACCACTATCACCTTGTGCAGATTCTGTTTGCTCTTCAAAAAGTTGTTGAAGGCCTTGCTGTGTCTGGCCAGCTGGACGATATTCTGAAGGCAGTAATGGCAGTTTGTTGCGAAATTCTGCAGGGCTACGTGTTGCCAAATATCC